TCCTATTGTACATATTGTTCCCTACGTTGCCTTTTCTCCATGGCAGGAATATACACCTCCACCCTGGTTTCTGATGAGGAGGCTCGAGGGCACTGCTTTCCTAGGAGCCGCCAACTGCGTCAGCCTTCCTGGGCCTCAGTTCCCTTTTGGCAAATGGGGCATAAAGATCCAGTCCTCCACCTCACCGGGGTTGCTAGGAGAACCAAATGGGACTAACGAGAAAGTGTGTCAGGAGACAGGAAGCGCTGCCCACATGGCTCACAGTGGCCACCATGATGGCCACCCACATAGGTCTTCTCCCTTAAGACTGGGTGCCCACGCCCTGGGGGGCACCTGTCACCCAGCCAGGCAGGTTGAAGTAGGTGCTGTGCAAGGCCCTACTGGCTGGCTCCTGACTGCCTTACCGATCTAGCCTAAAAATGTCTCGAGATTCGACATCCTGGTTATCTGGGCCCTGCCTCTTGGTCCACATCTCTCCGTACATGATGCCTTCCAACTGTGTCAAACGGGGCCCCTCCTCAGAACACGCCATGTTCCCGTGTTCCCTTCCTCCCTCTCTCCCTCCTCCTAACACTCCTACTAGGCTCTTGCTCATGCAGCACCCTAGAAGGCCCTAGAAGGCTCTTCCCCTTTTCCACCGAAGGATCTCCCACTCAGGCCACCTCTTTTAAGAAGCTTCCCAGACCTTCCCCGCCACCCATGCTACAGATCTTTTCTGCCTTGGCATGTGGTTGTTCGTGCCTCTGACTTCTCCACCAGAGCAGCATCTATGCGCTGCCCAGCCCAGCGTCTGGCACACAGTAGACGCTCAGTAGATCTTTGTTGCCAGACAAATTGCAACGGAACCCGTGAGAATAGAGATTTGCAAGAAACAGGGAGTGATCAGTGGCATCGGATGAATGAATCAATTCCCCCCAGTCTCCTCACCAATTGCTTTATTCCCACTAGAATGACTTGTTTGAGCTCTGCTCTACCCCGAAACTCAGGGCAGCCATCCCCTCCGGTGGGTCTCTCCAGCCCCAGCTCATTACTGAGCTCTGTTACTGGCAGTGCCTCTGCACACTTCGTTTGGTCACATCTTTACTGCACTCAATTTATTGAGCACCATTAATAACATGAATGCCAAGGCCTGTACTGACCCAGAGGCAGGGGGATGGCCTTAAGGGTCTCCCAAGGGAGACTGGGGTTCAAGACTGGAAACGTGGGGCTCACATGTGCTTCTGCACATGGGCAGGGCACACTCCTCTGAGGGGCTTGGAAGACCACAGCAGGTGAAAGCTGCTGCCCCCAACTCCTGCCTTCAGGAGGGTACACAGGCCATGTCTCCTAGGTCACTGTAGTATCCTCTGTGTTTGGCATACAGTAGGTACTCAAAAATGCTTGCTGAATGGATAGATCTTTGGCCGCTTTGAGCCAGGCCCTTGCCATGCTCTGAAAGCTTCCCTGATGCTCCTTACTTCTCTATTCTCTATTCATATCCACACAGCCCTGCAAAGCTGACCTGGGGTACCCCACCCCTACCCCTCCAGCTGTCCCCTCGGCTGGTCTATGGGGCTCTGACATGTCCCTGGGCAGAGAGCACTGTGGGCTGGTGGGAGTACAATGGAGGGAGCATCCATCAGGGAATCGGGAGGGCTGGGTTCTCTCGGCTCCCTCCTGAATGGACCTTGGGACCTTGGCCAGCCACTTCCCCCTCCTGAGCCCAATTTTCCTCCTCTGTAAGGGAACAGGACTCCCCCAGTTCCCATGGTCCCTTCTGGCCCTGAGTCTGTTTCCCTGAACTGCAGCCCAGCCCAGCTGGGGCCCCACCCCAGAGCGAGTCCCACGGTGAGGTCAGTGGGCCAGACAGCCTAGTGCTCCTGCTGACTGGCCAGTTGGCAAGCGGTTAAGCCCTAGGCCCTCCCAGCAGGATAAGTGGGTGCTCCCTCCCCCACCCCCCTAGTCGCCACTCACCAACCTGCTGGAGGTTGCCCAGCAGCTGAGATAATGTGGGTATAATTGGGGAACTTTCACCACACAAAGCCAGAAACAGGAAAAGCCAGTTGGGAGGGCTTGGGCCATAGGTTGGGGTTGGGGGTTGGGGTGTGGGCATCAGGAGCTGTCTTGGGATTGGTGCCCAGGCATGGTGGGGCCCATAGCGGGACACAGCTCACCAAGCCTGCCTCGACCCCATCTCTCATCTCAGTCCTCAGCAGGTGTGGGGACAGGCAGGCTTCAGTGCCTGGCACACACGCTGCCATTCATTTGCTGTGTCTTCAGCAGTGACCTCACCCTTCAGAGCTGTGAATGCCAGGAGGGAAGATCGCTGACAGCGGCCTGGGCATGGGGGCGGGGCGAGTGCCGCCAGGGGCTCGGGTGCCCCAGCAGCCCTGTCTCGTCCATCAGTGCCTAACCAGACGGAGGCAGCCCTCCCCACCCTGATGTCTGTTTTGGGGTTAAGACCCCTCTCTCCTCTCCAGAAGCAGCCCCATGGGGGGCTAGCAAGGAGAGTGCCTGGCATGTCAGCTCATTGCACACAAAGCCAGTTCTCCTAGCCCTTGCCCCTTCTGTCCTAGTGATGAGTGGGCAGGTGAGAGTGGGGGAGGGTCTCTAAGGAGGAGGTGGACTCATTTTGATGTTGACCTCTCTGTCCACAGTCCACTGGGAACAAGGGAGCCCTTGGGGTACAGGGTTTGGGGTCATTCCCCGCTCCCAGAGTCCTGGAACTGGGAGGGGCTGACGACACTGGCAAGGTCTGAAGACCCTCCCTAAGCCCTCCACCCCACTCCAGGCTCAGAAACTCAGAACCCAGCTCCTGGATTGGGATTGCCAGTCTTGGCCTGAGGATGCAGGGTGGGGGAGATGTGCCTCGTGCTTTCGTGCTTTTGACTGGGCAGACTGGGAGGCTTTCGGAGAGAGGGACACACCTCCAGTGATCGGAGAGGCAGGAGCAGAGTGTCGCAGGGAATGGGGGAGCGGGGATCACTGCTGCAAAGGCGGAGAAAGGGCTGGATCAGGGTAGTGACCCAGGAAGAGGGCCCTCCTCCACGCAGGAAGAGGTGGGCCATAAACCTCGTCTGGAAGGCCCGGGAGAGGGGGCGGAAACAGGAAGCCAGGCCTGTCTAAGCTTCTCCATCAACCACTCATGACCTGGAAGCTGACCCTTGTGTCTCCCCAATACTGCCTGAGCTCTTCCCCTTCTCTAAAGGGTTGTCCCATCTCTTCCCCGCCTCGGGCAGGACATGAGCTTGGAAAGAGCCAGACAGTGGGGATTTGCATCCCCCCTCTGTCACATATGAGCTGTGAAACCTTGGGCAAGTGACTTGACCTCTCTGTGCCTCAATTTGCACTGAGATTGCACATCTGTAAGATGTGCATAACAGTCATACCTAGCCCATACAGTCGTTCTCAGGATTAAACGAGTACATGCAAAACTAGAAAGCAGCACTTAGCACAAAGTTAAGTGTGCAGTAAACGGTAGTAGCCACCATCACCATCACCACCACCTTCATCGTCATCTGTATCCCTTTAACTTCTCTTTTCCTGGTGTGTGTGTCTAGTGTGTTTCCTGGTGTTGTGTCCTGCCTGGCTTCCAGCAGATTGTGAATCCCTGTGTGAGAGGGAAGGCACGGGTTTCCCTGGGGTTGAGCTGACCGCATCATGGCTCGCTGGCAGGATCCAGGCAGGACTCAAGAGACTAGCCCTCGAACCTTCCCTGGTTCCCCAGGTCATTAGGGCTGCTCCACACAAGGCATCATCTGTCCTCTCGCACAGGCCCCCTCTTACGTGAGAAGCAGGAGCCATCCCACATGTCGGGGACGGGACCACTAGAATGGTAGCAGATTGGAGCTCCATGGACCACATAATCTGTCATTTTACAAAGGAGGAGTCCAGGATCCGGAGGGGTTGGCTCACTTGCTCAGGGACACAGAAGAGCAGCAACCAGCCCAGTGATGGTTGGGAAGATCCCACTCTACTTTTTTATAAGGGACTCACGTTCTTCATCTAACACTTCATACTGGGTGGCATCCGTCCTTCCTGAAATGTGATCTCAAGAGCCTCTCTTGCTCCTTTTGATAAATGGCAGGAATACCAGTTATAAAATGTAGCCACGGTGCCTGCAGGTCACCCTGCACTGGGCGCAGCGGGCGGGTGGGGCAAGAGGTTGGGGGCCAGGGGTGAAGCCCAGTGGGAGCCCGGGTGGGGGCACCTGCAGGAGGCACAGAGCAGGAAGGAGCCAGAGAGGCGGGAGTGAAGGGTAGAGAGATCCATGGGAGCCTCCGTCCTCAGCAGAGAGGTTCTGGTATCCCATGGATATCAAGGAATGTGTTTTTCCTTTTCCTGACCTCAACATTTTCCCTGACCACCCTGTGAGCTCGTGCCAGGGTCTGGGACCCAGGGCCCTGCGGGCCTGGGTGCAAGTGCCTCAGTTTCCCCATCAGAGCTGGGGTTGGGCAGTTTGGACTGCCTTCATGGCTTCGCAGAAGTGCTGAGCCAGGCATCGGCCGGCCCCCCAGACGTCAGGAACCTGTAAAAGCCCAAGCTCAGCAACAAAACACAAAGGCTCCTCAGTTGTGGCCGACAGACCTGCTCCCCAGGGCCCCGCCCCCTGCCCTGCCCGCCATGGAGCTAATCCGAAGCTAAGGCCATGGGTTCCCACGCAGTGGGGTGTGGCCCAGAATGGGGGGCATCTGCTCCCCACACCCACCTTGAGCAGTTTCTCTTCCCACCCTTTGAAACATCAGACCCGCCCCCCCGCCCGCCCCTCTCTGGCCAGGCAGGCTGGGACTGGGCCCATGAGGGCGGGTGGGGGGGCACTGGCAAAAGGAGGGGGTTCTGGGATTTCTAGCACAGACCAGCTCTTCCTCTGGCCCCCATCCCTGTTCGGAGACTCGGCCTGGGTGCCCTCAGTCGGATGGACAGCAGGCACAGACCCGGCTGGGAGGACCATTGTGGGAGGAGCGCTGGGCTCCCCACCTACGCCCTCTCAGAGCCCCAAATCCTTTGGAATCCATCCCTAGGGCTTTCCAGGGATCTCACTCCCTGCCACCACCACCACCACCCCAGAACTGGCAGAAAGGAAGAGGACATCCGGTTAGCAACCAGCTTAGTGGTAAGTGGGAATGACTCACCTGGGGAGGGAGGGTGGGCTAGGGTGGGGGGGTGGGGTAGGGCCTCCAGCCCAAACCCTGCTGAGTCAGCACAGTGAAAGGTTAGAGGGCCCCTCCTCCCAGTTGGGCAGCTACTTCCCTAAATGTCAACTCCCAGGGCTGGCCAGCTCCTCACTTTCTGATACCAAGGCCCATCGACCTAGGGGAGAGGCTGGCAAGGAAGAGGGTATGATCAGAAGGGAATCCCCTTTCTAGCGTCCCCTCCTCTGGGAAGGTTTTGCCAATCAGTGTTGCCCAGACCCAGTCTGCCAGCAAGAACCCACAAGAGCAGGGTTCTCACCGAGGTCCTTTGAACTTGTCTCATCTTGTATCTATGCCCCAGGCAGGTTTCCCCATTATTCGGGAGCCCCTGAGGGCCCAGGCTGCATCTCTACCCTCTGAGGTCCCTTCCATGCCCAGGATGGCGTCCAGGGTGACCCAGGTCAGAGGGCTCAGTGAGGACCCAGGAGCAGCAGCAGCTGACCCAGTCCTTGTCCCCATCCCCCTAGGTCCCCGGTCACCAAGGCTGAGTGCCTCCTACACTGCAGGTGCTCTGCCCGGTGGGAGTGGGCCCTGGGGGACTCTCTCTGGGAGCAGTGCCTGCTGGGATGGCTCCAGGTGTCCCGGGGCTTTGAGTCCCTGCTGCATCCACCTTGCCAGCAGAGGTGATAACATCCCACCATCCCACAGTCAGGGGCTAATTGCTACTGTCCAAACCCAGGCGCCTCCGCCCCTCATTTGGGGTCACAGAAAAACTGCCGAGGTTTTCTTCTTGGCTGATGACCCCCCTCAAACTCCCGACATGGAGCTGGTTTAATGATGGGCTGTGGGGCTGGCGCCGGAGCCTTGGGCGGGTGAGCGCAGTGCGTGGGAGAGGAGGGGGCGCGGCAGCCTGGGAAAAGGAGCCCAGGAGCTTCCAGACAGGCTGGGCCGGCCTGCTCCCCAGCAGCCCTAGCAGCGTGGAAGCCCCGGGGTTGTGGTGGTGGAGGTGGGGGCTGCTCTGGCAAGTCTCAGCTCTCTCTGAAACCTAGCAGGACAGGTTGGGGGACCGGGATGAATCAGGGAGCTGGGTTGTGCCTTCTCCCGCTGGGGAGCAAGTGGCCAGGGACACCTGGACCTCTCCCGCAGGCCTGTTCCTGTTGGCTGCCCCCTCCCCAGGGCCCAGGGCAGGGCCAGGCCAGAGCAGCCCCCGACTCCCCCAGGACGTCCCAGGAACAGAGAGGCCTTCTCAGTTCTGCGGCTCTCTGGCTTGAGCCTTCAGACTCCACCTGTTGATCCTCTCTGGACTGCTCGCCCTGCACCTGCAGCATTTCCTCTGGCCCAGTGGTGGGGAGGAGTATGTGCTGGAGGTCAGGAGAGGAAGTCTCTGGTCCCCATGACCCGGTCACATGTCTCTATGTGGCCTCAGGTAGGGCTGTTCCCTCTCTGGCTTCAGTGTCCTTTTCTGTAAAATGAGAGTGTTGGACCCCATGACCCTGGAAGACTATACTTCGGACATCACCTGCCTGGTTGTCTCTCTGCCCTAGGTCTGCACCTTCTAGGATCAGACTCTAGGACTTTGTCACCAAAGGGCTGCTCCACCTCTGTCTACTGCCCAGCTCCTCCAGGAAGACCTCCCAGATTAGGCGGGATGTGGAAAATCCACGCTGCACAGCAGCAGAGCGGGGCGGATGCTAGCTCCTATACGCTTTGGAATTCATCTTTGTTCTCCATCCCCACTGGCCCCCATCCAGACTCCCCGTAAGCCTCCCCCCCAACTAGCGCAGTCTCTTCCCCGCCCCCCACCTCCAGCAGAGTCTCACTTCCTTATTTTCTCAACACCCTCAGATGAGACTCTAACCACCCCTACCCCCATTTAAGTAAATCCTAAGCTCTTCCCTTCATAACTTAATGTGCTCAGCATCTTATTCTCGCAGCTGCCACCGCTGCCACCGCTGCCACCACCGCGTCCCCTCCTCCTCAAGCCCCGCCCAGGCGCAGGCCACAGCCAAGTCCACATACCTGCCTCCAGGCTCTCCTCCAACCCATTCACCACTTTCTAAAACATAAATCATTTTCTATTTAAAATCCTTCCATGGGTTTCCTGCAGCCCTGGGGATCAAGTGCAAAGTCCTTTTGGGCTCCAGACCTCATCTTGGGCGCCGGAGCCCACAGCCACCTCCTTCCTCCCTGCTCTGTCTCTCTCCCGCCACAGGGAACGTCATCCGTTGCCTGCCAAGTTACTCCCTCTGCTGCAAGCCCCTACCCTGTTACCTGTGCCCCAGTCCTCTTCATCCTTCCTGAGTGACCTTACCCTTGATTTTGAGGAGGAGGTTTCCTGGAGCACCCCCCCACCCCGCCGAGTGAGGGATCCAGCACCCGAGGGCCCCAGTACAATACATCTATCATAGCATCTCTCCTAGTGTGGGCAAAGAGTAGGCATACGGTAGGCAGAAGGGAGCCCTGCGTGGTTGGTGGAGGAGGCTCCGAGCCAGCTGGGGTTCCAGGCCAGGCTTAGCCACATCTTGGGTCTGAAATCGCACATTGGTCAAGGGCAGGGCCTACACAGGAGGACACAGCATGGTGTCAGCAGGTAGGGTAGGAGGACAGAGCTGGAAAGTGAGGCCTCCCATCTGCACCCAAGATAAGCAGGTCAGGGCTGGAATCTTCTTGACTGAAATCAGGAAGCTGTACCCCAAAAGGTATCCTGCTGGTCTCACCACAACCCCACATCCTCTGCTTGCTTCCCACTTGCCACGTCTCGGTTTCTTTCCTCTCTCCTCTGCCCCAATTCCTAGCACACAGCCCTGCCTCCTTCCTCACTCTAGACCAGAGGTGAAAAATATTCTTCTCACCCAAGCAAGCTGCAGAGGAGGCCCTGCTCCCAAGGTCTCAGCCCTGTGAAGCCTGCACGCTGCGCCCCCCTCCAGCTCTGCACCCCTCCCAGTACATCCTGGGTTCCTCCTGGCTTAGCCCTTTGAGGCCTGGAGGAGCCTGGAAGGCCGGGCTCGAAGTCTGGGGTTTGCACAGGTCCCATCTCTGCAGCCCACGCCAACTGTGTCCACCCCACCTGCGCAGACGACACACCTCCCAGCAGACAGCCACGGCAGCCAGGGCCCCCCTCAGCAAGGGTGCGTCTTTAATGATACATTTTGGGGAGTGTAGGCAGCAGCCTCTCCAGAGAGCTGGTGTGGGGGTGGGAGAGGCGGGGGGCTGCCATGAAAACAGAGGGAGAATCCCTTAGGCCTCCCCAGGAGAACCTCTTGAAAGCTCGGTATCAACATATGCATTGTCTCCGTCCTGCCGCCTGTCTGGAAGTGGAGTCTCTAGATCTGCCTCTTGCCAGAAGGGACTTGTCGGACCACCCCAGTGCCCAGCTCTGCCCACGCCCTGTCCGGCTCCAGGCGGCTGTCTGTACCCGAGCCTGGGGGCTGGGCCTGTGTGGGGAGGGGCAGCGAGGGGTGGGCATGGGGCAGGGATGTCCTGTCTGCTTCCCGGGAGGCCCATTCTAAGAGTGGAGGGTTGAGTGGGAGACTGACGGGGAAGGCGTTAAGAGGACCAGGGTGGGGGTGCAGAAGACAGTAACTCATCCACGAGCACTGACTTTGAGTTCAGACGGGCCTGGGCTTGTTCGCACTCCTTACTGGCTGGGTGACTGCATCACCCTCTCTGAGCCTCAGTTTGTCATGAATGAAATGGGTACAATTATAGTGCTGTTGCCTAGGGTCGATTTGAGGATTAAGTGAGATAATTCATAGAAGCTCTTAGCACAGTGCTTGGCACATAGTAATGCTACATAATGGGTTGTCTAATTGTTATTACAGGCTCGGGGAAAGAAGCCACCTAGAAATCAGGCAAGCTGGTTTCTATTCTGGCTCTGCCAGCCTCCGCGTGATCTTGCGCAAGCCCTCGCTGTGATGAGGCCGCGGTCCCGGGGCAGAGGTCCTTAACCTTGGTGCTATTGACATTTAGGGCCTGATAATTCTCTATCGTGGGGGCTATCCCGCGTGCTGCAGGGTGTTCAGTAGCATCGCTGGCCTCTGCCCATCCTTCCTCCTCTGGGACAGCAAGAAATAGCTCTAGAAATTGCCAAATGTTCCCTGTGGGACAAAACAGCCTCCAGTACAGACCACTGGCCTAGAGGGAAGGGCGGGGAGCTCAGGCAGGGGTGCTGCAGGGTGTGGGGATGTGCAGGGCAGACCTCGGCGTGGCTGGTGGGCTCTCAGGAGGGGAACTGTCCTGGGCCCTGGGGCCCAGTGGCGGGTCAGAGCAGGGGTGCAGGCCTTCTTGCCTGGAGAGCCTGCTGGGGGCTGTATAGGAGGAAGGGGGTGCATGAGGTGTGTTTGGGGAAGGCAGGTGGAGAGGACCAGAGGTCCCCGGGGAGCCTGCAGCCCACTGCCCTGTGCTGTCAGAACATGGTGATGGAGCAGTGCCCGTCCTCGGAGGACAGGAGGGCGGCGGAGACACAGCAGTGGGGGTGCGGCTGGGCGCCTCGCACAGGGAGGCGGAGAGGCTGCAAAGACAAGGCAGCGTGTTCCTACGAGCGGAAACGAGGTCGGGCAGCGTCTTTCTCCGGCTGGTAAACCGCTATCATTTCGGAAGGTTTGCACCTCATTTGGTTTCTGCTTAAGTGAAATCCACAACATGTGTTCCCTGCATTAGTGGAGTGTTTGTACTTAATTAGTGGCAAATTCTTTCATATTAAAGTCATTAAGTTTTGCCGTTTGCTCTTCTCACCCCGGGTCTGGCTCTCTCCTTTTCCCTTTTAATGCAGGCGGCCTATTGCCGGTCGTTGGGCCGCAGGAGGCGCGGTGCAGGCACCTCCCCTCCCTGTGGCACTAGGACCCTACGACCTCAGCCCCCGTGCCCATCCATCCCTGGGCTGGCATGTGTCGCTCCTAGCCCTCCGGTCCCCGGGCCAGGCCCCTCCGTGTGGGCCGGCAGCTCTCTCTCCTGCCTCTGGGGCTCCTCCTAGGGCTTGACTGTCCCCAGCCGACCGGGCTTCGGGGTGTGGGCCGGGGCACCGCTGCTGGCCGGGCAAGGAGCGACCGTGGAGCTCAGGAGGCCGCCCTCGCACATCCGGGGGTTAGATGGGATGGGGTGGAGACTGCCCCGTGAGCCCCCTCCCCTCACAGACACAGGAAGGCCTCGGTCTCAGTGGTCCCTCGGGCTGGCGCGCATGCTCTGCAGCCACAGCACAGTGGGGACACTGGCCCTTGCAGGAGGGCGGGTCGCCCGTGGTCAGAGCCCAAGACAACTTCTCCACCTGCATCCAATGCAGCCTATGAAGCAGCCGCCAGCGGCAGGCCCCACACCTATTTCACTTTTAGGTTAGATAGAACATTCCCGGGCAAGGCAGGAAGGGCCGGGTCTTCCACGCTGCCCTTCACAAGACCTTGAAGCAGCCCCGACCTGGACTCCTGGGACTCCCCCCGCAGACTCTCCAGGCGGCGCTGGGATGGGGGCTCGGGGCCTGGACTCAGGAGGTCCGAGATGGGGCAGGAGCCCTCCCCTGCTCAGTGCCCCCTCTTCCATGAAGCCCCTCCCGCAGCATCTCTAGTTGCCACAACCTGGTCCCAGCCCTGCTGTCTTCATCCCCCAGAAAGCCTTCCTTGCTGCCCTCTGAGCTCTGCTCCCGGCTCTGGGCTTTCTCTGCACTCCAGGCGGCGGCATTCAACCTCTTTACTGGGCACGGTCCGGGGAGCCCACAAGGGGACCAAAACTGGCAAAGGCTCGGGGTCTGTCACGTTTCCTCTTTGACCTTCTACAGTTAGTGACACCCCAGAAGCCTCACCTATGGGGTCTCCAGCATGGGGCTGGAGGTGGGCCGGGGGAGGCAAATCCTTTGTGCTTGAGCTCCCTGGGCGGATGGGTGAACCCAAGCCCTGCAGATGAGAGCATCTCCCAATGTCTCAGAAATTCAGGTTACATCTGGGTGGCCTCCCGGGGGGGCCTGGGGTGCAGTGGATCACAACAGAGGCGAGCGGGAGCTTAGGGAAAAGGGAAGGGGGAGTCTTGCCAGGGCCCTTCCATCATCTTCAGAACCCGCCTCTTTTTCACACCCCTACACTCCGCCCGCTCTGGCTCGGCTGCCACCTCTGCTCCGATTCTCTCCGCAGGCCAAGGCTCAAGCGGACATTTTTCTTCCAAATAGAAGCCACAAGGTGTTGAACTCCTCAAACCCCTCCAGCCTCTTGGATAGCACCAGCTTTAGCTGTAACACCCCCAGCTCTCTGTATCGACCCCAGTGTTAACCCCAAGAAGCATCCTCCCCAACCACAGTGTAAACCCCAACATAAGCCTCAGTCCGATCTCAATGTCAATGCCAACCTAGACCACAAGACCGGGGTTATGACTCTACTCCCATGCTAACCTCTTTCTGGTTTTAACCACAGAAAGCAGAACCTTCCATTGTTTCTGTCCTAATCTCCTAATCTGCCTCAGCTCCATGGCACCCCAGGAGGAAGCAGTTTTTTTTTTTTTTGTTCTACCTGACAGTCCTCCCCCTTGGGGTGGCCACAGGAAGAGGGGTCTCCAAAGGATCCTGACATCATGTTGCAGGGTGTGGCTGGCTCCCCTGTGTGTGTGGGAGGGTCCTCTCACAGGGGCACCAGGCTTCCCACGCCGTCCTGCGCTCCCCGCCGTGCCTCCCACGGCAGGGCCTTGTGGACATATGCAGTCCCTGGAAAGTCTGCCCTGGGCTGTGCCTTTGCCTGGCGCCCAGGAGGCTGAAAGGGGATGGTGGGCAGGCCCACGCTTTGTAGCTTGTCCTGCTGCTAATTTCAGCTTCAGCTCTTACTAGCAGTAGGACCCACAAACAAGTCCCACAACCTTCTCGAAACCCAGCCTTCCCACCCATAAAATGGGCCTAAGGCGAGGCCACCTCATTTGGTTGGGGTGAGGAGGGAGGGAGGGCATCTATATAAAATGACTTCCGTGGTCCTGGGGTCTTTGGGGACATGTCCTGCCTGGCCTCACTGTTCCCAGCCTCAGGCTGTCACCTTGCCTTCCCTCCTCCCTTCTCTCCTTTCTCAGCACTGAAATCATCACCCTCTTCTTGGCAAAATGCTGAGGGGCGCAGGTCCCTGCCCTTGCCACAGCCTGTCTTCCTGCTCCACAGGGCAGGGGCGCAGTGGCTGAGCGGACCTAAGAGGCAAGAAGGGGAAACCCCAAGTCCTGACCATTCCTCCCAGCCCTGCCCACTCTCCCCCAGCTCCCTTGCCACCAGGAGTGTCCGAGTTTTGAGGAAGGGGGGGTGTTTTCTCCTACTATCTTCCCCTCCTCCCTGCCATCCCTTTACCCAACACCAATCTATCAGGAGCCACACCCAGACCTGCTTCCAGCTCAGACTTGTTGGGGTTTCAGAGACTTGTTGGGGTTTCAGGAGTCACTGGGTAGGGGCCTGGCATGCCAGGACCTGCTTCCCGTCCTGCCTTGCAGAGAGCGCGCGCACGTAGGCAGCGGGGCACGGCGCCCAGCTGCAGGGATGCAGCCCAGCCTCCCCGGCCACCTGCTCCCCCACCCCCCTCTCCTTCCCATTCTCATGCCCTGGTGGCCCTGCCCACCGCACTGCTCACAATGGTCCCTGAAAGCTGGGGAGCGGCTGGTGGCAGAGGTGTGGGGGTTCCACTGTCTGAGAAGGGTGTTGCCTGCCTCAAGATTGGGTCTACCCGCTTAGCAGCAGAAGCTGGGCGTCCCACGCGCTCCCCTCCCTCCCTAGAGGAGAAAGGACAGAAGGATGATCTTCGACAGACCTTTGCCAACGGATGGCAAGAACAGTAAACACATGTGTATAACTTAGGTGTTCCTGAATGTTTACTTATATTAACTCACTTAATCCTCACAACAACTCCGGGATCTGGGTCGCATTACTGTCTCCATTTCAGGGATGAGGAAACAGAGAGGTAAAGTCACCTGCCTAATTCGCACAGTCTATGAAGCCGATTCACCATGCGCAGCCTCCGTGAGGCTCTGTTCAGGGTGAGGCTATGCTCCTCACCACCACATGGGCTGCCCAGGGCCCCCCTTTCTCCCCTACCTGGGAGATGAGCGGCCAGCACACCCTTACCAAGCCCCAGAATCACAGGTAAAGGTGAGACTCGATACATGGGACCCTTGCCTGTCGGCAGCCAAGGTAATGGGTTGGATTGGGTTCTTTTTTGGGAGGGCAGACGCCATCCCCTCACCCTGGCTCCAGGTGAGGCTGAGACCTCCATCCCTATACCTGTCAGGATGACAGGGCTGGCTGGGACCAGGGCATTCCCAGCCAATGGGATGTTATTGGGCATCTCAAACGCATCAAGCCTCCATTCTTCCCTTGTTCCCTTTGCCTCCCGATCCAGTTTACAAACCCCTAGTCTGAACTCTGCCAATCTCCGGCTGTGGATCTTCCTTCCTCTTTCTGTTGCTGGGATTCTCCAACTAAGAGATGCTGGTGCTCACATCGACCCCATTGCCTCTGGGGCCCTGGGGCCTGGGAGGGCCAGGTATGCCAAAGCTCCAGAAATGCAAATAATGGCTACCACCACTAAGCACCTATGGTGTGTCAGTCATTTACATAGATAACCAGCCCACGGTTTTTACAACCATCCCATGAGGGGAGTCCCCTCAGCTCCAGGGCCAAAGAGGAGAGGGACTGCCAACCTCTGTCTTTTCCCCAAACTCCAGAAATGGATGGTTATTCTCATTTTTCATCCCTGCCCTGTACCCCCAGCCCAGCCCCCACCCCTGCTCTGGGTTATTAGCTACCTTGAAGCCCAGGAAGTGGGCAGCAGGTGCTAATGAAAAATCTAAGGAGACTCTTCACACCCCTCCCTGAGCAGGGGACTGGAGGCCTGGAGGGGGGGTACTTTGGGGCCCACTCAGTGCCTAAGATGTACAGAGAACTCCCAGCCACCTCTGCTGGCGGGCTTCCCACCAGAGGCTGCCGGGATAGCATGTCAAATTAGCTTAATGAGCGAGGCCCCAGCTTTAATTGGGGCCCTCTGCTTTGCTGTGCTGTCTCCTGCTTTCATTTTTAATGCTGGGAAACGGTGGGTTTTCTTCCTCACGCCTATGCATTTTCACCCTGGCTAATGGCTCCTCGCTCAGAAAGGCCCCTACAATGCTAATTGGGTTTAATTCCCAGGGTAATTAATGATTCTATTGGAAAACTGAAATATTGTGGGTGAATTCTGTGTATAAATAGATAGGGAAGTCAAAGGGACAGAGAAGTCAGGAGGAGACCTTGGGAGAGACCGTGGTTGGAGGCAAGGCGAGCCTGAGAATCTCAGCTGCTGGATCCCTTAGATGGTGACCATCTGGCCCAAGAGCTCCCCGTTTATAGACGAGGGAACAGAGGTGCAGAGAAAAGTAGAGCAGGGACGCCTGGGTGGTTCAGTGGTTGAGCGTCAGCCTTCGGCTCAGGTCGTGATCCCGGGGTCCTAGGATTGAACCCCCATGTTGGGCTCCCCACAGGGAGCCTGCTTCTCCCTCTGCGTCTCTGCCTCTCTGTGTGTCTCTCATGAATAAATAAAGAAAATCTTTAAAAAAAAAAAAAGCAGAGCAACTGCAGGTGGCCAAGAAGTTGGTAGGGATGGGGCAGGAGCTCGGCCCAGAAGAACAGGGGTGGGAGCGTGTGACTTCAGCCTTCGATGGTTCAATAATGTGATAATGGACGTGAGCGCACCTGGGAAACAGCTATCAGCCAGATGCCAGCCGTAGAAATGTACTGTGGTTGTTTCTCTTGTTGTAGTTACAAAGGCCTTGCCTCTGGGTCAGTAGATAAGCAAATAGCTCATCAAGCCAGGAGGCAGCCAGGTGTAGAAAGGCAAAGGGGTGGGTGGGTGGTGGAAGGCCCTGGAAGGCCACGGCCTCTAGCCCACCTCTGGCTCTAAATCTTTCTCCTCTCTTGTCCTAAGGGAAAGAGCTGGATGGGGCATCTCTTGAGGTACCATCTGTATGGTACCTGCCTGGCCCGTACCCACGAACCTGATGGGGAGGAGGGAGAGATGGAGGAGATATCTGCCCCTTGAACTTCACGGTGACCTGGAGGTTTGGCACCAGTCTGGGGAGGGAGGAGACGGGGTTGGAACAGGAGATGAGAAGTGGGTGGGAGAGGACTGGCTGCTGGGCTGTAGGGTGGGTCCGCATGCCCCACGGCCTCGAGGCCGCCTCCGCGTCGAGGGCCCTGAATCCAGCCTGTCGGTCTGCCAACTGGGCACCTCACCCTCCCCGTGCCCCACTGAGCTCTTCTCCTTCCAGCTCCTCCCTCACCCCCCTTCTCTCCCTGGGCTGCACTGCATCAGTCACCTCTTTCCATCTCGTGGCCTCCCTCCTCTGAGTTTCCAGAACCTAGCCTTGGCCTCCCCATTCTTACAGCCTCTTGCCTGGGAGGTTAGGCCCGTATCAGGTCCCATCTGGAATCCTGGCACCAAGTACACCAAGAAGGGTGAGTTTTTCATGAGCACTCACAATCTAGGCGGTATTGTGAGGCAGCAACTCTCCTTTCATTCTCATAAAAATCCTCCTCCAGGAGACAGGTCTCACTGGTGCTGCTGGGAAACAGAGCCAGACCTGGCCAAGGGTCTGTCCGTGCTGCTGAGTGGGTCTGAGCACGAACCTGATCCTGTCACACATCTGAGCTATTCATCAACCTTCACCATGGGTCCCTGTCTGTGTCCCCAGCTTCCTCTCCTGTCCCTCCTAGGTCCCCGCCCTCCACACCAGCCACTGAGGGCAACTCCCACCCACACGGCCACCAGCTCTGTGCTCGGGGTCCCAGAACACCAGCTCTCGGGGGTGCGGGTGAGGGGATCTGCAGAACACACTATCTCTGAAGCCCCAGCGCCCCGCACGGGGTAGGACCTCAACCCATGTTTGCTCAGCGACCTGCGAGCCAGGCTGCAGTCAAATCTCAGACAGCACACTCGGGGGGGATGGGACGTGGGGCTCTGTCAACTTCTCCAGTCATTCAGATTCTTTAATCAAGACTTCTCAGGAAGCTGAGGATCAAAGGAGGAGCAGACTCCCTGGAGAATGCCATGACTCTGTGCAAAGGAGGGCTTCTCTGTTAAGAGAAATGCTGAGAGGCCCCACGTGTGGAAGGAGCATCCAGCTCCACTTCCCCCCAGTGGGGAAGGCGGGAGGCCCCCTCCTCAGCTTTCCAGTGTGGCCAGCTGGGGCTAATCCCATCGCTCGGCTCTCCCAGCCCCCTTTAACCTGATGATCCTCGATTCTGGAATGATTTAAGGAAGGGGCTACCCATTTTGTAGATGTAGAAAGGAGACCCAGAACAGTGAGGTGACTTGAGACTATGCAATCTACTAACTGAAAAGCCAAGGACAGAATCCAAGTCTCTTGCCCCTTCTTTTCCTTTCCTGGCTCCAAAGGGTTGAGGAAGACAGAGTAGAAGCTGCCCCTGGCTGAGGGAAGGCTTCTGGGTAGGAGTCTTTGGAGGGTAGGTCGGTGTCCCATGTCTAGTGCTCAGGGACCAGGCTGGCCTAGAAGAAGGTGAAATGGGCACCCTCCCCACCCCACCCTCAGCAGCCCCAGGCTGGGTCCCTGGGTGGGTATAATCAGGAGGTGCTCTGGAGTTCACCCCAGCCTGCTCCCTGGGAAGAGGGTAGAGGAGGGAGGGAACCCTAAAGAAGCAGGTCAAAGCAAATCCTCTCCACATGTCCCACCCCCACTGAGGGTGGGCAGAGCCGGAGCCTGTAGGACCAGAACCCAGGCATCCTGTCCTGACACGTACCAGGGAACAGCCTGACTGGGAAGTGAGTCCAGGAGTTGGGGGGGGGGGGGGAGACACACATGCAGAGAAAGGGAGGGAGGGCAGAGAGGGGCAGGCAGGGGGCTGGGTGGTCTGTGCCACCTCAGGGGACATGGGGACGGGGGCTGGTAAGGAGCCAGGGCAGGGGTGGGTTGAGGATGGGTGGGGGGGATGCTGATGAAGCAGTGTTGTTGGCTCAGCGGGTCTTTGGCCCAAGGCCCCCGCCTCCCTGGTCACAGGCTTAGACAGGTTCGGGAAGCAGGGCTGCTGGCTGCAGATGGGGGCAAGGTGGGAAGAAGTATGTAGCCGCACCGTCTGGGGAAGAACCTGGACAACAAGCCATAATCAACAGGGGGCCTGGCAGGCGGGGGGGGGGGGCTGCCTCACCTCCCATCTCCCAGCCCCCTCCCAGCACTCTGGGTGCTGCCCTGAGCACTGCCAGTTGGCCCCGGGAGGGCCAGTGCCCACAGTAGATGTGGGAGGTGGGGATGAGGGCGGGGAGATGCTTTGAACCCAAGAAAGCCTGGTGGGAACTGGTTCTTGACTCAAGGCAGAGAAAGGGTTGGGATGGCCAGGGCTGGTACTGTTTTGTTTTGTTTTTTTCCTTTTATGAGATGTAAACTCAAGCAATTAAAAATACTCATTTTACTTTACACAATCTGCCTTGCTGTGTCTCTTCGTCTTTGCTCCATCTAGCTCTGGTGCCCTCAGAATGGCTGGCATTCCAGTCACCTTTTTCATCTGCGAAGTGATGGGACCGATGGAAGATGTCCCCAAGTTTTTACAAGGCTCAGCCCCCTTCCTTTGTAGGTTCCCTCAATCTAATAATAAACACTGGTGGACAATATTTGTGCTCCCTGCCTCCCAGAATTCCAGCGGCAAGTTATTTCTTTCCACCCCTGTTGACCGAACACCTCCTCTGTACCAGGCACTGGGAAGTGTTTCCTGCTTCGGGTCTCCTAAGATTCTTGCTCCCATCCTTGGGAGCCAGGGTGGATATTCCCATTTCACAGAGGAGGAAACTGAGGCCCAGGGATGGAGAAGGTTGCCAAGGTGCATAACTAAAGAGTGGTTGGTCTGAACTTGAGCTGCCGTCTTCTGGCTTCCGTACCCTGTTACTTCCTTTCAGAAGGAGAACGCCCCTTGTTTTTGTCTGCTCAGTTACAGCCTCTCCTAAGACCAGATTCCAGCTTTCTATGCATGCAGTGTCTAACTCAGGGCCCAGCCAGCAAATCTGTAGATTTGCTTAAGAGGAGAGGATGAGTTTCCCTAGAGGGCAGGGCGGGCATCAGAGTTGGTAGACCTGCTGAGCCTGGGTCTCCTCCCAGCCCCTCTGGGAGCAGGGAAGGGAAAGGGAGCAAAGACTGGGGTTTTGGAAGTAGCTGAGCTCTCGCTGCAGAGCCAACTGGTGCCTGGACAGGTAGCTGGGGACCACACCTGCCCAGGCCCGGCCCTGCCCTGCCCAACATGCTGCCCAAGCTGGCAAAGGGCTACCAAATGGACTTGGGCAAGAAAGCATGTCCTTGGAAAGGCGACATCATGCTTCACCCTCTGGGCCAGGTGGCAGCAGCAGAGGCATGCCCAGCCAGAGCTGGGGGCCTGGGCCTCTGAACCACCCAAGCAGAAGTTAGACAGAGGGGCTGGCATATACTATCCTCTGCCCCTGGCAAGGTTTTACCCGAAACAACTTCACCCAGGAGACTAAAGAAATCTTCACCCAGGTAGCAGGAGATCCTACCTGGGAAACTGCTAAGTTCTATACCCTTCCCCGATGGACAAGTTTGTCCTGGGCTCTGTCTTCAATTTCTGTTGCTGCAATGGAAGCACATTGTGTCCTGTGGTGTGCTTGGGGCTGCTGGCTCAGGTTCCAGAGGTGGAGATTGGGCAGGTCCTCCTCTTACGGAGAGAACACGAGGGGTAGGGAGGCCAGACAGACCTGGGCTGGGCTCATCGACTCACTGGTAGTGGGCCTCAGTGAGCCTCTATCCTCATCTGTGAAATGGACTTAAATCTTTTATTGACAAATGGCTATAAGGATTCAATGAAATCATTTACGGACATGGTGAGTGTGACATGGGGAAGGTGATCATGAGATGGAAGCTGGTATGTAGATACTTGGGAGGTCACGGATAGAGCCAACAAGCTAAGATCCCTCTCCAGGACCTGGGCAGGTCCTTTGTAGCACCCCAAAGGCCATGGAAGCTGCTTTGTGCTCTCCCACAGAAGAATGAGCAGCCTTAAAATTCCACATCAAATCTCAGTCAGCTAATTGCTTTTTGCCCCAAATCAGCACCCTCACTCTGGCCTATCATGCCTGGCCTGGTCCTGGAGTCCTATGGCAAGTAGGGACCTAGGAGTGCTCTGCGAAGTGCCCTTGTGTGCTCCCTGCAGAGGGTTAGCAGTGGCGTCCCTGTGCCCCTACCAGCCGGCCTTCTGGGTGGGTGCCAGTACAGACCTGTATTCACACCATGGGCCTTGAGGATGCAGAGAAAAGAAGTAGCAGAGTGCCAGAGGTTTGACATGGACCGAGGGGCTTCCTCCAACCTCCTTCCCCAGGTCTAGAAGTCTAAGAAAGTTCTGAGTGTCCTTATGGGAACTCTGGGACTTTCACCTGTCCGGCTGGCAGATGCCAACTATGTCAGCTCCTCCTTCTCCCTGTGTCCTTCTCCCCACTACCCCAGGCCAGCCACACCCAGCTCTGGCAGTGCCCAGCCTGAGTCCTGGAGAGGAGAGGCCCCGATCCCAGCTGTCTGCCACACCCCTGCATCCTAGTACCTCTGGCCGGCAGGCATGGCCGGGCCTCTGGGCCTGGAGTTACAGAATGGCTGGGAGGGCCTCATTCCAACAGTGCTCCCTGCTTGCTCGTCACCCACAGATGCGAGAGGGAGTGTGGCAGGAGCCTGGGGTAGGGCCTTTTGAAAGACACTGGGCGGACTCACTGGGCACTGGCTTGCCTGGCTCAGAAATCCTTAGCATGACCTTCCAGAGCAGGTGCTAGGAGACAGCTGAGGAAGTGGAGGCTCGGCAGCACTGGGGCCATGGTCATTCAGTGCTGGAGTCAGAATGAAAACACAAGTCTGTCCCCTGGCTCATGCCTCCTGGGCAAGGCCTCTGGAATGAGGAGACTGCATTTTGGGAAAACCCAGAGTAGCTCTGGATCTGTTCCCTGCCTGTACAGTGGGAACTGCAACCACCAGCACACTTGCTCTTGCAGACTTGGTGGGGACATCCACTAAGACAAGCTCTGCAAAGAGAGCCATGAGGCCAGACAAGAGGTGCCTAGCTACTACTGTTCCGTGATTAGGGTGGGGGGATACAGGACAGGACTGTGTCCCCTGTGAGGGCAAGGCCCCTCCTGAGAGCTTTGCCAGGAGACCTGGAAGGGGTGGGAGTACTGACTTGCCTCTGGACCTGGACCTTGTGGTCTGCCCAGATTGGCATATGTCCCATCCCACAGCGACACCACACTGTCTGGCTGCCACCAGCTCCTCAGCCTGTTCTGGCTCTGAGGGTCCCTCATGCAACAAATTTATTTTGTGTTGATGTCACTTCCCAAATATACTAACACCAAGTTCATGAAAGGGGCCTGGGCTGGAAGTCGGGACACCTAGATTCTCATTCTGGTGCTGCCATGAGCCAGTGAAGCATGTGACTTGCTCTGTCTGGGCCTCAGTTTCCTCATTTAAATACAGGAACTAGTCAGTTCATGCTTCCTTCAGGTTCCCTCTAGCTTGGCCGGCCTGGGAGTCTCTGCTCTGTACCCAGCCCCAGGCAGGCTCCAGGTGCAGAAGGCAACAGGCTCTTGGGCCTCAAGGGGATGCTGTTGGGATGGGGGTGTTCATCTCCAGGTCTTCCCAGGGCCCCGGGAGCTGCCGATTGGCAGACGTGGAACCTCTGAGACGCTATTTCTGCACGACGGGACAGAGAACAGACTGGATTTTGCAACTCTCTGAGGCCCTGCCAACAGGCGTGGCTGGTTCTCAAGGGCTTCTCATGAACCTAGGTGGTGTGGAGAGGTGTTTCTCAGAGCCGGTTAGTCGCTGAAATGGCAGGGCTGGGCCCTGTTCTGGGACAGGGGTGGGTGTACCAGGGAAGCCACCAACTCCACAACATGAACCCAGGCTCTTGGCCAAGTCGAGGGGCAGCCTGCACAAGTGCCTGTGCTTTGGTAGCTGGGGAGGCTCCCGGGCTGGAGCTCTTGAACTCACACCCAGGAAGTGAGGCGTCTATTAGTAAGTGAGACTTTGGCAGTGACTCAGGGGCTAGGTCCCTGCAGAGCCCGGGGCGGGGGGCACAAGCCAGGAAACAGAGCCCTTGCCCAGCCAGCTAAGTTCTGATGCTGCCTCTGCAGTGATTCATGCTGTGGTCTCAGTAAGGTACCTGCCCACTCTGTTTCCTTCCTGTCACCCATGACATAGGAATACCGGTGGCTGCTCTTAATGCTTCCTGATTATTATTGTTAGGGTCAAACCAAAATGCCCTTTGAACATGACGGAACTTGAACACCTTTACGATGCCTGGGCTCCATCTCCCCCAGTAGCACTGATGGGCCGAGGGACGAGCATCAGTGGGCAGCTCTCCCCACAGCCCTGCAGGAGGCAGGCACTGACTCGGTCTCACTGAGGTGCTGGAAGCTCCGACAAGTGAGTAACAGAGCTGTGGTGCTGGGGTTGCGGGGCTCCAGCCCCAATCAGTGCCATTCGTGAGGGGACCCGGCACCCCAGGGAAAAGGACAAGGTGACTTCGTGGGGTCCTACTCAGCTGGCAGTCCCTAGATTGGGACCTTGAGGCCCCAAAGTCTGGCCTCTTGCAGACTCCTCTCCTCCTTTTGCTCAGGGGGGCATCTGCAGAGGAGACAAATCTGGGGGAGATGTTAATTAGTTCTGACAAATTAATAAAGAAAGCCTAATTTATTCTCCGGATCTAATTTCCTTCCCTGTGCTTTCTTTTCCTGCCCAACAAGCTGTTTGCTCGGGAAATGGAGGGAAAGGTGGCGGCGGCGGGGTCATCC